CTACCGCCTTTTGGAGCACACGGTTGACCTCGAGGTCGAAATCGAGGGTCCAACTGTCGTTTCTATTGTATTTCATATGCAAAACGCCCCCCTCCCTCAGACATGACCATCTGCTGCGCACACACCTTGTAGGGAAAAAGACCTGGCGTTGAAGCGGAAGCTGGAACTTCGAGATATCTTCCTGGCAGAACTGGAAAGACGCCGCCAGGCCCGCAAGGATGCAAACAAGGGCGAGCACGAATTCATACTGAAGAAACAACAGGAGATGCAAGAGATTGAGGACTTTAAGGACTACAAAAAGGAGTTGATCAGAGCAGCTGCCGAAGCAAATCGCCAAAAGCAGGTAGGTTCCTCTTGCGTGTAAAGCATCATACAGTTACTGACCGATACGGTGTCTCGGAATTATTTGCACACTTAAAAGTTAGATAATTTTTTAAAATTAAATATTGAGCAGCATGTTTTATGTATTCCTCAACCTTATTGGTTAGTGATTTATTTGTAACCAAAATTTGCACATTATGTTTACTGTATAGCACAGTATTACAGAAGGACAATCCCTAAATTCCCTTAGTCTAAGGCCTAGACTAACAGAAAAACCAATCAAAGGTCAGCTAGGAATGACCTCGAGCATATTGGTCAGGTTGTGACGTAAAGCCGTCGGCAAGCAAAGCAAACGCCACAAGTGTTGGGGCAGCAATCTATTTTTGTGACCCTACTGTGTGTGTGTGTGTGCTCGACCATCGACTTCTTTGAGGTCTATCAAGTGCACTAACAGGTTGGTACAGAAGGTGAGGGCCTCAGGAGGTTGATTATAGTACTAGCGGACGCAGTAGGCGCCAACCGCACTCTTTACCTTCACCCGGGGTCAAGAAGACCAAACGGGACCCGGCGTTGGTCGCTTTCTCCAATGCAATCCGGAAACACCGCCTAACTTTGTGTTAAGAGCCAGTAGACTTTGCACCGGTACTACTGCACTATCTACCCTCAGTCACCTTTAGTAGGTCT